CTGGCAATCGCCACCTTGACTATATGGCCAGTCCGACCCTCAATACAGAAATAATTCACTTTTTTTTAAAAAAGAAACGATATAATTTAGCAAGGGATATTCCAAATCCAAAAAAAATTAGACTAAATTGTAGTATAATTGTGTTTTTTTAGATGAGATGCTATACCGAGTGCGTCTCAAAAGTGGCTCACCCCAATAACTTTTTTATTTTTTCAGATAAAAAAACCAGATTTGGTATGTTAGTATGTAACATAAATTAGGATTGGTTGACGTATTCAATTGTTTTTGACTACAACTTTTGACTTTTAAATGTCACCCTCCATATTTTTTCCTTTATTCGATAGAAAATGACACTCTGAATAGAATGACATATGTCAACTTTTGACATTTTCTTATACGGCTTATTTGAAATTGTAATATGCCGTTCATAACGATAACTTGACTCGAAATACCAAGTGTGTGGTACCAAATTATTCGTAAAAAAAATCTTTTTCCAAATATGCTAATGAACCACCCTTGTTCAATTTGAAAAAATTGAAATATGATTAAAAATACGATTTGGGCATCTTTTAACTGGCCAGAACAAGACATGAAAAACATTAGACGATCGAATTTATTTTTCTAAGGCTTCTTGAATAAAAATTAGTGTTTTTAACACAGCCATGGCACTCTAGATTGACGTTGTCAAAAGTTGGCATATGATATGTCATTCTATTAAGAGTGTGACATATGATATGTCATTCTATTAAGAGTGTCATTCTCTATCGAATAATTTTTATCTAAAAAAATAAAAGTTATAGGGGTGAGCCACTTTCGAGAGGCACCCGGTATATTTTTGTTAGTTTTGTTACTAATTTGCCAGGAAATTCGCATTTTAAAATAACTCTAATTTTCTTAAATAATTTAAAAAAATTGCTTCACATTTTATATGAATCTACAAAATTTTAAAAACTCAAAATATTACTTTATTTATGTCGAGGTACTGTATAATAGTGTTCTTTTTAAACTAATCGGTACTAAAATACACTATACTGATCGATATAAATAGGAAAATTTGAAGTTATATTATTACATTGAATTTTTCTCACTTATTTTTAATGGAAACTCTTATTTTATATCAAATATGAACATACGTTCTGAGGAATCGGAACTGTTTTTAGGAACCGAGATTTCCCGCTTTTTTCGGTAGGTACTTTCGGTACTAGCTAATTTTTATTCAGGGTTGGTGCAGTTCGTCAATCAGCAAGCCAGGCATTATTTTCAAACGTAAAATCGATAAAAATTTAGTTTTTAAATAAAAATAACATTAAATTTCATTAATTAATCAGTCATGAGAAAATTAACACGAACACAAACTTAAAATTTACGTCTAACAACATCAAACGAACTTAATTAAATTTGAAAAAAAACCTTACATTTTAAAATGCAAATGTCTATAAGAACATAAGAAGACATACCGTATGATCGAAAAAACCGGCGTGAAAGACGACTGGAGATTGACAATCAATGATAATTTTGGCGAGGTCAATCTCTAGGCGTCATTTACTAAAAATTGACATAAAACTTGTCAAAATTAACACTGATTATAGAAAAAGATAAGTTTCCAGACACACAAATCTATTCCATGAAAATTATTTTTTCTCGAATTACGCAATTTTACAATTTATACTACACCATTTAAAAATCGTTTTTACTCAATATAAAAATAAAGCCTTCTTAAGGCCAACTGGCAGTGGGGGTCACTAAAAAATAAAGAAGAGTACGGGCCAAGTATTGAGCAACAATATACTAAAATAGTCCAGGAGGCAGTGATTTTTTTTTGTACTTACTTTCCCAGTGGGTGAAAGTCAGTCTGGCTGAAAATTTTCGGATGCAAAAATTTTACAGATTTTTGAAATCCGTAACCCTTATTTTCTTGGAAATAATGGTTGAAATTTAACGTATCATTTCATACTATCACAAACTATATAATCAAAATCAAGTCTGGCTGATTGTTCGAAATTAGCTAATGAGTCTGGCATCTTGAAAATTGCAAAAATTACAACATTTTTGTTCTTTTTCCGGATTTGAAAATGTGTCACATGATAAATAATATTATAATTTTATAGAAAATACGTCTGGCTGTCGTTTATAATCATGAAAGCCCCGCCAGACTTACAAGTCAGGTAGTTAAATGAGAAGAGGAAGCGGCATTGTATAATTGAAAATACCGAATTTAGAGCGCCTGACGAGTGTTGGAGTCTGGCAAGGCTTTCGGGATCTTCCACATTAGGCTGAGGACACACTGAAGCGACGAGGATAGCGGCGAGCCAGCAGCGCGACATCGCGTCCAAAACAAACTTGTGAAGACAAGTACGTATGAACATAGTACAGCGATCTGCTCGAGCGCTTAGATCGAGCGGCGAGATCAATTCAAATAATTTTGTTTTCGTCGCTCTGTCGCGCTGTAGAAAACGATGGATTCCTAAATATTAATAAATTTAGTGTTTGTAAGAGACATTTTATGGGACCAAAAAAATAGTAATCACCATAACCGGTACATTTTAAATAAGTTATGAGATGAAGTGGCAACACATTTTCGTAAAGTTTTTGAAAATTTCATGTACCGGGTGTCCCAGAAAGAATAGCTCTCGGCTGTATCTCAGAAAGTATGTCGTAGAGCTTGCGGAAACAAATATTTATAACTAATGAGACCATGAGAAATTGCTGGAAATTATTTTCGAGTTTGTAGGACGGCCGCTAGAGGGCGCAACTGCTATGGAAAATAACAAAATGGAATTTTTAAGAAATTTTGCCTAGATACGATGTACTATAAATAATAGCTTCATTATCTTCAGTAAATTATTGATCTATGTTGTTAGAACGATTTTCCCCTACCTTTAATTTTTAAAATAAAGTGGTGGGGGGAGGTTAGATCTGTTTTTATTTATATATTAATAACTCCGGACTGGATGATCGGAATCCAACAAGCGGGGGCTCGTTTAAAAGAGCTTTTCTTACTCTATATCGTACCATATAAACAATAATAATAAGCTTTTGAACGTATACGCTAGGGGGCGTTGTCTTACAATTTTACAAACATTGCGCATTTTTTCAAAAAAAAATAAATACGATAGTGTATGTAATTTTAGCTTATAGTAAAGAGTAATAAAAGCTTAACAAGTTAGCGAAAACCGCATCTTGATATCTTCTTTTAAACCAAAGTTATTTGCAAAATTATAATAAATACGAAAATATAAGCCTTTAATTATTTCATTTTTCTAACACGGTATCACTCTTGATTATGACCATTCTAATAAAAAATAATATAAAAGAGATTATTTTATTCCAAATACCGACAATGAACCAGAAAACCATAATACTAGGTGTATTAATATCTAATAATTAAGAGACCAATGACGGTGGACAAGAAACGACACCTCAGTGAATTCATGGAAGGTTTTGGAAAAAAGTTGCTTTTAAGCGGATAGTTTAAATATCAAAATATTATTATATCAACATCTTGATAGTCTCAGCAGCCTTTTTTTATCTTTTGATTGCTTTTCTAAAAATGCCTTTCTTCAACAGAGAAAAAACGCTGCTAAGACTATCAAAGTCGTCGTTTCTTATTAACTGTCATTGATATCTTAATTATTAAATATTAATAGATCTGGTATTATGGTATTCTGGTATATTGTCGATTTTAGAATAATCTAATCATTTCTATCTTATTTTTTTGTCAGAATGTTCATAATCAAGATGGTTAGTAATACCGTGTTAGAAAAATGAAATAACTAAAGGCATAATTTTCGTATTTATTATAATTTTGCTAATAACTTTGGTTTAAAAAAAGATATCAAGATGCGGTTTTCGCAAACTTGTTAAGCTTTTATTACTCTTTACTATAAGCTAAAATTCCATATACTATCGTATTTAATTTTTTTGAAAAAATGCGCAATGTTTGTTAAATTGTAAGACAACGCCCCCTAGTGTATACGTTCAAAAGCTTATTATTATTGTTTATATGGTACAATATAGAGTAAGAAACGCTCTTTTAAACGAGCCCCCGCTTGTTGGATTCCGATCATCCAGTCCGGAGTTATTAATATTTAAATAAAAACAGATCTAACCTCCCGCCACCACTTTATTTTAGCAGATAGGGGAAAATGGTTCTAACAACAAAGATCAAAAATTTACTGAACATTATGAGGCTATTACTTATAGTACACCTTATCTAGGCAAAATTGTGTAAAAACTCCATTTTCTTATTTTTTGTTGCAGTTGCGCCCCCTAGCGGTTGTTCTACAAACTTGAAAATAATTTCCAGCAATTTCTCATAGCCTCTTTAGTTATAAATATTTTTTTCCGCAGGCCCTACGGCTAATACTTTCCGAGATACAGCCGAGAGCTATTCTTAGTGGGACACCCTGTACACTACACCTTCTGGTTTGTTGGTTTCGAGTCAATCAAATGTTTGCGACACTACTGTCCAGAATGTTAGTCACTGTTAACATTTTAAATTATCAATAAGCAAATGAAAATAATAAATTTGCAAGTACCTCGCCTATTCCCCGCCGCGCTACTATGTTTCAGCACCTCGAGGCTTGCTCGACGCGGTATCGCGCTGCTTGCTCGCCGCTATCCTCGTCGCTCCACTATGTTCTTAAGCCTTAGCCACACTATATTTGCAGTAGTAATTATAATAGAAACTATCATCTGACAAATTTGTAGGACTGCGAAAACAATGGCAATGGTTTCAATAATTTTTTTATAATTTTTCACCTGCCACTTGCCAGACATATTACCCATTCTCACAAATTAGCTACACTATTTTTTTTTTTTGCTTAACTGCACATCCCTCACTAGCAGAAATATTTTTATCGCTGGTAGAAAAGTGCAGTATATTTGTACTTTCTAACGCATTTTCCGCCACAAGCCATCGGAACCCCCCCTCCATATACAGGGTGTTACAAATTCGAGGTACTTAATTAGAGGCCGACTTAATTTTTTTAAATACGGACCTGCATTTTTAGTTTTTGAAAGACCTCGGTCTCCTGAGTACAATGATATGCCACACTTTATACTTTTTTTTCTTTCGGACATTTGAACACAATTTATTTAAACTAATTTCAAGTCCGGTTCTGTTTTTTTTTAAATATTTAATCTATTCATCCTTACAATTTTGATAAGCTTTTAAACTTAACAATGACGTGGGGTAAAACATTGGATACGGAAAATCAAATGCAATAAAAAATAAAAATATCCAAACCAAACCAAATTAATATTTTTCAACATTTACAATAAAGAGTACAAAATGCATTCGGAAGTATAAGAAGATATGTTCAAAGAGCTATAAATAAAATTGAACGAATAATAAATTTGTGCAATAGGAAGGGTGGTAACCCTTTCAAACATGTAGAGCATTAGGAAGTAGTTTGTATAAGTTGATTTATTTATAGTAACTACGATTAATATTATGCATATTATTAGATCGTACACTGAGATTTCAAATTCACTATAAAGAAAAGTTAAAAATAATATCTTTAAATTGCTGACTTGGATATTATTTATTCGAATCTTTCAATTGGCTCGATTTTCCGTATTCAGTGTTAATTAGAACTGATCAATATTGTTGCGATGAATATAATCAGATTAAATAATTTAAAAACCCAGAGTCGGACTTATTATTTTAAATAACGGACGGAAATTATTTTAAATAATAATTAAATAGTTATCCTTATTGTACCCAAAACAAAAAGTAAAAAGTGTGGCCAGATGCCCAAATCGTATTTTTAATCATATCTCAATTGTTTCAAATGGAACGAGGGTGGCTTATTAAGCTCGGTCACGTTGGAACCCGCTTTCAAGTAAAGTTTTCGATTTTTGGCTTATTATAAACTACAAACGATGCAATTGATTGTAGTAAATTCAATTTTTTTGTAGTACTAATAATTAGCCAGAAAAAGTAAGCAATTGTGCGCAATGTAATAAAGAGAAAAAATATTGTTTTAACATAGGTCTAAAAACCTTCAAAATCGTTTGTAGTTTTATGTAGTAGCAAAAAAATTCAATAAAAGATCCCTGGAATTAGTGAATTATAGTAAAATATGAAAATTAACATAGTTTGACATAATGTCATTAGTTGTACCCAAACTACAAACGATGCAATTGATTGTAGTAAATTCAAAGTATTTTCAAATTTTAGTATAATTCACTAATTCCAAGAGTCTTTTATTGAATTTTTTTGCTACTACATAAAACTACAAACGATTTTGAAGGTTTTTAGACCTTTGTTAAAATAATATATTTTCTCTTTATTACATTGCGCACAATTGTTTACTTTTTCTGGCTAATTATTAGTACTACAAAAAAATTAATTTACTACAATCAATTGCATCGTTTGTAGTTTGGGTACAACTAAAGACATTATGTCAAACTATGTTAATTTTCATATTTTACTATAATTCATTATTCCCAGGATCTTTTATTGATTTTTTTTGCTACTACATAAAACTACAAACGATTTTGAAGGTTTTTAGACCTTTGCTAAAACAATATTTTTTCTCTTTATTACATTGCGCACAATTGTTTACTTTTTCTGGCTAATTATTAGTACTACAAAAAAATTGAATTTACTACAAACAATTGCATGGTTTGTAGTTTATAAGCCAAAAATCGAAAACTTTACTTGAAAGCGGGTTCCAACGTGACCGAGCTGGCTTATTACCGTATTTGGAAAAAGCATTTTTTGCGAATAATTTGGTACCACACACTTGGTATTTCGAATCAAATTGTCGTTATGAACCGCATGTTACAATTTTAAATAAACCATATGAGAAAATGTCAAAGTTGACATATGATATGTCATTCTATTCAGAATGTCATTTTCCATCGAATAAAGTAAAAAAGGTCGATGGTGCGATTTAAAAATCAAAAGTTGTAGTCATTTCCGGTGAAACAGGAAGTGACCAAAAACAACTGAATACGTCAATCAACCCTAATTTATGTCATATAATAATATACCAAATCTCGTTTTTTACCTGAAAAAATAAATAAGTTATAGGGGTGAGCCACTTTTGAGATGCATCCGGTATTATAAATGATTGATATTAAAATTGATATTTAATGAGCAATTTTCAAGTTCTAAAAGGGAGAAGAGATTTCTTTAGATTTTTAAGAAGAAATATAGTTAAAGAGAAATAAAAATAATGTAGTAACGTAGTTGTCTATTTACGTATTTACTTCAAAAACTAATTTATTTTAATTCATACGATCTGAATAATTAATAAAATAATACTCGTATACTCGTATTAGTGTTTTTATTTTGCTTAATACTCGTATACAATATTTCCCCTCCTATACATTAATTTTCTGAGAATCTAACCTTTCTAACCCGACAATTTATGATACATGTCAAAACATTGTCGGAAAATTGTTAGTATTTTTTGCACAGTCGAGTGAAACTTTTGAGGAAAAATAAAAATGGGCGACCCCAATTTAGTAACGACCTATAATTTTCACGGACAAGAATTTCTCTTTAAAATGAACGTTTTGCATAACAATTTGGAAATTTTGGTTACTGATAAAAATACAGGAGAGGAATGGCAATGTAGCTACGACGCTACATGTACGTTTTTAAATACTCTTTTAATATATTTTGAAAGAGAATTTTTTAGATGTAGAAAATTTAACACAAAAAACAGGAAACTTTAAGCAGTTCGATATTTTCGTGGCTATGTTGAAGTCCGGATTACTTAGAGTAAGTAGTTTTTTTTTGAAAATATACATACATCTGTACCCCAGAAGCAAACTACGTTAAGTCATAAAACATAAAAGGTCCTGGGGAAAAACATGATAAGCGCCATTGCACTAATTTACAGGACAGCACTAATTTATAGGACAGCAGGCTGGTAGTTATCAGGCTCTTTCCGTGTATTCTATATTTTTGCTAGGCATATATCACACGATTTAACAACTTATTACCCGGCAGATTTTAAACAGAGTATTTTACTTATTCCTACAGATAACATAAAACGAGAAAGAGCAAAGAATAGAGCATAAAAAGTTAAGCAACTTGACGTGTATAACTCAAATATGGCAATTTTGGACTTAACATAGTAGTACGAGAGCTAGCAACGGCGGAAAAACAGGTATTTTAAGACGTCTGGCTTTTTGATATATCTTTTACTATGCTCTCTAGAACAGCATGCGGCCCGTTTGGCTGCCGGTAAACGTTGCGTTCCCTACTGCTCATTGAAAGAAAATCCTATATTTTTATTAGTCCTTTAAATTCTAAGTATTGAATATAAATTGAACATGTCTCCACAGCGCAGTGCGTAGAGTGTCCGACTAAGAACCGAGGATTCAGAGATCGAATCCGGGTCAAGGCAAAGACTTTTTTATTTTATATTCGTTTATATCCTGATAGTAAAGTATTAAATATTTGATTTTTTTTTGAATCACCACATTTGAACTCTGAATCCTCGGTTCGTAGTCCGAAACTCTACGCACTGCGCAATGGAGACATGTTCGATTTATATTCAAGACTAGAATTTATAGGACTAAATTATAAAAAATATAGGATCTTCTTCCGATGCGCAGTAGTGAACGCAACGAATATCGGCAGCCAGACGGGCCGCATGCTCTTCCAGAGAGCATAGTAAAAAATATATCAAAGAGTCAGTCAGACGTCTTTAAATACTTTCTCGAAAACGTTGCTAGCTCTTAGACTATAGTTTGCTCCTAGAGTACAAACATTGAACTTTATTTTATTTTTTTAGACCAGTGAAAGTGTGAGTTTAGATTTGCTGACTTTCGAGGACTTGGAACTACTCAGATCAAGGAAAATCACAAAATCCGTGGCTCCTATTAATAACAACAAGAGATATCTTATTCTCACTTATGTAGTTGAATTTGATAAGTAATTTTTTGGGTAGTTTTTACAAAGACAGAATATAGGATGCACGATAGGCACTTTTACGCGAGAGAAAAATAAATGAGAAACATTATAATAGTTATGAATACCACTTAAAACACAAAATACACTAAGATCATTATAGAATCATACAAAATCAACAAATACAGAACATCATCAAAACATGTAATATTCAAAATACCATGCGACTTAGGAATTGCATTACCGGTTTATCGATTTATAGGTAAAATGTATTGATTCGTTGAAGTAAATATCTTCGTCCTCCTATATCGGCAATTTCGGTAATCGTTAAAAAATATAAATATACACTAGGCTAGAAGTCAAAAGCTAAATTATAGCCAGAACCTGAAGAAGAAATTATTACCAGTACTGTATACGTTGGTTATAAATCTGTTACGATATTTCTTCTATCATCATCATTTTCAGCTTATTCAATCATTTTCAATTATGGTTTAGCCTCCCTTACATACTCTCGTTGTAGCTGGGCCTATTGTTGTCTACTGTTGGCCAAGTTATCCCTGTAATTTCCTAATATCATGGTCTCATCAATGGTTCGGTCATTTTCTAGGTCTCTTAATTCCTCGTGGGTACCATGCTGTAATTTTTGTAGTCCATCTGTTATCCGTTCTACTTTCCAGATGTCCTGCCTATTGACATTTGAGGGATTTGACTCTGTGAAAGAAACCTATTTCTTTTGTCGTATCCACTCTATACTTTTACGGTCTCTCTTGGTTGTTCTCAGCACATTTCGTTCGAGTCAACTTGGCCTTGGTCCAATCTATCGATATGCCAAACTCCATTTAAATCGGACGAATTTTTGATTTGATTTATTGATGATGGGGTTTCGTAGCGCAGGAAACGGCGTCAAAATATTATGAAAGGCCCTGATCTCGATATCTCGACGAGCCACATCTACATTTCGAGTTTCAGCCATGCGTTTAGCTCACATAGAGCCCGAGTTACGACACTCCGTCTTAACCTCCAACCTTTACCACTTTTCCTGACGCGTTTCGTGTGTCAGGGCCTTCAATTTTTATTCCCATAGCGTGTAAAGAAGCTTCGCTTCAAAAATCTCAGATCGAAACTACCAGTTGCATTTATACAAAAGACACTCTGTATTTCATTTGATAGAATTATTAAAAATTGACTTGTATAAATATAAATATAAATGTTATAAAGACTAACTAAAAAGTGTTCTGGAACTCACGTATTCTGTCTCTAAAATATCATGTATTAAGCATTTCTTTTTAGAATCAGGTATCCACTACCTCTTGAATATTGTGGACCACCTGATCCTGTAATCCTACAAGGAACTATCAGACGACTCGAAGTGGAATTAGCTAAAACTAAAGAACAATTAGCACTGAAAAATAATAACAACGAATCTAGAAAGATTTATTTTCTACAGCAACGGTATGATAAACAGCATAAGTACTGTATGATCGAAAAAAACGCGTCAGTCAAAAAAGTCACAGTAATGTTTGAAATAAAAAGTCCTTGATAATTTTACAAATTAATATTAAAAAAAAGTATTTAAAAAGAAATATATTTTCACAGGAATTTGTAGTAAATATCAATTTTCACGTTTATAGTATCGATGAATTAATAGAAGAAAATAGCCAGTTGCAAGAGGAGATTAACAATCTATCCAAATGTTTAGGAAAAAGGCCAAAAAATCAAATATTATCGTTACAAAAGGCTGTAAGCAATTTAGAAAAAAGCGTGGTTTTAGAAAGGAGTTCTCACCACGAGTTAGTTCAGAAATTACAACAAGATAAAATGCAATTGGCCAAACAACTGGAAATTGTAAAAGATTCAGAAAGATCGTTAAAAACGAAATTGAATAAAGCTCTAAGTCAGACTTCAAGGTTAGCTTATTATTATTAAATTAAATAATTTTGAGATACATAAAGTGTCGTGAATTGTGTATATCAACGTTCAACGCCATAATAATCTAAAGGTGGCTACACACACTGCTGCAAGCTTCACAAGCATGCATGAACAATTTTTTTGTACAAGCCATGCATAATTTACCTTCGCCGGACACGGTACATGCAAGTCCGCGAAAAAGAAGAAGGAATTCTGAAGGCATTTATCTTTTTAATACCGGCATCCTTATCGGCTTGGTTGTCAATTAATCTATACTTATTAAGTAAAATTTTGAATACTGCATCCTTCTTCACCCTATCATGATATTCTGGTGATTTAATTCGCCAAAGACACGGCTGATTTTCGTATGCGCGAATGAAATCTTCCAATAATCCTGGATTGCTCCTTTTCAGATCGCTAGACATGATGGCGACGCGACGTACAGGTCATTTTCGATCACGGACTGAACTAATTGTTTGTACAAGCTGAATACACGTGGTACACACGTACCGTTTCGCTTGCGCAAGCATGGTTTGTCCAAGCTTGCATGATTCAAACAGTAGCGTGCCGTGGGTAAAAGGGCGGGGTGGGCGAGCTATGTTGAGGTTGCGATTTCACTAGGGTGCGTCACTCAGTCAGAGATAAGGGCGGAGGGGGCAATCGCCCCCCGTGCCCCCTATACGGCACGCCACTGGATTCAAATCAAATTCAATCAATGATCTAGCGGCTTGCACAATTAAAATGCTTGCGCAAATTTTCCCTACAGACGCTGCAGTTTGCTTGTACAAAAAGATTGTTCATGCATGCTTGTCAAGCTTGTAGTAGTGTGTGTAACCACATTAACTGAATAAGAACTAATTAAAATATGTATACAGGGTGTTTCCAAAAATATGTGCCATCTCTTGTGGGGAGATTCCTCACGTAAAAAATAAGATTTGTTTATCATATCAACACAGGTCCGATTCTGCTTTGTTTCGTAGCTACAGGGGGTTAAAGTCTCATTTTTTCTTCGATTTATTATAATTTTCTTCCAAACGCTTTTAGTGATTCGAATGAAATTTTGAGGGTAAAAGTTACTACAAGTGCTACATATTTTAATGCTAAAAAGTATCGACAGATTCACTAGGGACATGCATATGGGTTATCACTGGGGAGCACAGCTGTGTAGGCCGTTAAATGTTGATTAGAACTTGTCTTTTGATATATTTTTCGATTTTAGTCTCCTTGATGCGATAACCACAACTTTATTAATTTGCATTAATTCAAGTCTAATAGCAATCTTTAACATTTTTATGTTATTAACTACCCAAAGTGTTAAATAAGTACTCATTGATTCCTCATCAAAAAACAGAAAAAAGTTCCTGTAAACATAGGTGCGGAAATGCATAGTTTTAAAATTACAGGATGTTAAACCTTTAAAAAAATAAGTCTTTTTTGTAATTACCTTAAATACCATTATTTTTTTCTTACATTTGCCTTAGGTAGCACCTTGGTAGCACTTGTAACACCAGTATTATAAATTTAAATAAAATTTATTAAAAAAATACATTAAATAAATAATTCCATCAAAGCATTTCAATCCAATCGCTAAAAGCACTCGGAAGAAATCGAAAAAACTAAGTCTAAGACTTTACCCCCCTCTAGCTACAAAGCTGGATGGGACCTATGTTGTCTTATGATATATGGTATTTTTAAGTGAGGAATCTCCTCATGAGAGATGGCACATGTTTTTTGAAACACCCTGTATTTATGCAAAACACTAAACAAAATGAATTGGTGTCTTCAACAAGGCCAGTATTACACTATCAAATTACTTTGTCAAAGATCTTTTATAAAAAATATTTGATCAAAAAATTGAGTGTTAATATACAATATTTTATAAAATCACACATATTACACTGTCAAATTTTTTGACAAAATAAAATCTTTGACAAAGAAATTTGATAGTGTAATACTGACTTAAGTCAGGGAAATTTTATACGACATTCAGAAAAAAATAATAGAAAATACACCTGTGAAGTAAAATGTCAGTCAGCAATGGTGACTGTCACGCACCTCTCGTTGGACAGACTTATGGGACAGTCTTTATATAGAACAATATAGAACGTCTCTAGGTGCGTCTCCAAAGTGGCTCACCCCTATAACCATTAGCCTAACTAGCAATTCAGCCTAGGGAGGGCCTAAGGTTGAGCCCAGGGTGGGGGGCCTAGAGTTTTTGTTTTTTTGAAAAATTAAAAAAATAATAAAAAATAAACACATATTTTTTTTAATAAAACGTTTACATGAATTTCTCTATCAATAGATTTGCTGACTTCATCAAATAGACATAGATATCAAACCGTGCTCGCCAGTGGTTTACCTATAAATACCTACAAGTTTTGTAAAAAAATAAAAACTAAGGCACATTTTTTTAACAAAATAAAATAATACTACACTAAACAAAACTAGAATAGAAACAGTAATTTTAATTGCATCATAAGCAAATAAAAATTAATATTTAGCTAAGAGGTATAATTCAGTAAAATTTCAAGATTTCTCTGGGGGGTTCTCAGCAGTACCTGGAGTGGGCCCGGCACACCCAGGCCCCCCTGTAGTTACGCCAATGCCTATATATTTTTTATTTTTTTCAGATAAAAAAACGAGATTTGGTATGTTATTCGATAATTGTTTTTGGTCACCTCCTGTTTTACCGGACATGACTTCAACTTTTGATTTTTAAATGGCACCCTCGCTATATTTTTACTTTATTCGATAGAAAATGACACTCTGAATAGAATGATGATGAATATCATATGGTAACTTTTGACATTTTCGCTTTAAAAAAAATCTTATTTTAAATTTCAATTCAGAGTGCCATGGCCGTGTTAAAAACACTAATTTTTAATCAAGGAGCCTTGGAAAAATAGTTTGGGCCGTCCAGTGTTTTTCGTGTCTTGTCCTGGCCGGTTAAGAGATGCTCAAATTGTATTTTTAATCATACCTCATTTGTTTTTCAAATGGAACGAGGGTGGATTATTAACATATTTGGAAAAAGCATTTTTTTACGAATAATTTGGTACCACACACTTGGTGTTTCAAGTCAAATTGTACAATTTCAACTAACCGCTTGTTACAATTTCAACTAAACCAGATGAGAAAATGAAAGTTGACATATGATATGTCATTCTATTCAGAGTGTCATTTTCTATCGAATGAAGTAAAAAAAAACGAGGGTGCCATTTAGAAATCAAAAGTTATAGTCATTTCCGGTGAAACAGTAAGTGATCAAAAACAATTGAATACGTCAATTAATCCTAATTTATGTCATTTACTAACATACCAAATCTCGTTTTCTGAAAAAAATAAAAAAGTTATAGGAGTGAGCCACTTTTGAGACGCACCCGGTATAGTCCTTATGTTCCTTTTCTCGTTTTGACATTTCATATCAACAAAAGAACAAAAAAAAATCCTAGTCAGTGGATACAAATGTGTTCTGTGGTAGATGTTAGTCTAAATATTAAGAATATATTTAAAAGATATATTAATATTTTATTTTTTTATTATATTTAAGGCCTTATTTAATTTTCTGTTATACCACTACTTTTTAGTAACTACATTTTATTGGCATTTAAAACTATAGATTTAACTTTATTTTATTAAATAATTACATTTTTATAAAAAAAACTTAGAAACAAAGTAACTAAAACTTTTTAGAATTGGTGTGGGTGACCATCTCAAAAAAATACCACAAAAAAAATCGTCAAGCGAAAGCATTAGGACGATGTTCAAAAGAAGCCCAAGCCCGGGTTATTCCGAAGGCCACCCTATATATAACGATAGTTCTAGAGAAAGCATCCGGCTCAAGAAGAGACAATCGGGTATTAACAGGTAGTCACTATTAATAGGAATAGGGAATATAAAGTTTATACCTCGTAGGTACCTACTAGTGGTAGGTTTTTATTGTAGGTACTCGTAATTATACCTAATTTCAATAGCACCTCATTATAATATACGACTTGTCATAAATATTATTACAACTTTAAGAACGACACTTTTGAAAGAAACGTAGACTAGATAGTTAAAAAAGTGTTTATATCGACACTGAATTGTTATGTATAAAGTAAAAACTATACTTAGGCTGTATTCCGTTGCAAAACCAGGCGAACCAGACCGGTAAACTACGGTAAAGAGCAGTTCCTGAAAAACATCGGTTTGATACGGAACGGTTTGGTAAAATACTGGAAACGTCGTTTTCTAAATTCAATACCTCTATTATAAAATTTATCTTCTATGCATTTTTAATGTACCTATTCTCTGCTTTTACGTTTGCTTCTTCATTTCAATGGAGCTTAATATTGAAAAGTACTTTATAATAATAATATTGAAAAGTAATAAACTGTTAAACTCGTTAGACAGCTCAAGGGAAGATTTGCAGGTCCAATATTAAAACAGATCAATAATAAATAAACAAATCTAATCAATATTTATATTTTTATAGCTTACAAAAGATTCACGATTACTTGTCTTGTTTTTCATGTTTTCTTTAAATGTTCCTGCAGTGGCGGATCTAGGCGTGGGCAAGGTGGGCACCTGCCTACGATGCCAGGCGCCGCAGAGGTTCCAAAATGTGTCCGAAATCAATAGGTAAAAACTCTAATCACGCACCGCATGCACACATAAGGCATGTTACTAGTTTCTGCAAACATCATACCTACAAGTAAAATTTCGGCACAGGGGCGGCAAAATATAAGTATGTCTGAAACAAATTGTGGGGGCGCCAAATTTTGTCTTTACCCACGACGTATTTTACCCTAGATCCGCCACTGGTTCCTGACTTTAAGAAACAATGGCTGCATGATAAGTTTAAATGGTCCTAAAAAGTCGTTATATTTAGTTAATGAAATTTATTTACCTTTACTGGCCTACCACCATTGCTTTTGGATGTAAATACAAAATATTATTACAAATTTTAGAAATAAAATGAGAATTTCACTCGAACTTCTAATATTTGCTTGATTTCTGTCACATAAATTACATTGATTGACAAAGAAAACCAGAAAAACCAGCATTCTCGCTCTGGTTAGTTTGGTGACAGTTATAACCGAATTTTTCAGGAACCGTGTTCCATAATAAGAACACTTTCAGGAAACCGATAGAAACGGAACATAAAACCTAGGTAAGCAACGGAATACACCCTAACTAGACATGAATGTGTATTTTGACATCAACTGTTTCTAATTTTACCTAATTTTATATCTTTAAAATGAAATTCTGATTATGAAAAAAATAGCCACATTTTTTTGTTGTTAAATGCTATATCATGTCAAATGCGTTCATTTAACTTAAGGTTTATGTCCAATGAATCGGGAAAGAATTCGACAGACATAAAAAAAAATGACAGAAAGCAGCATAAATATGATCGAAAAAGGGCGTCTAGTTGGCACGGAACACGGAAATGATGATCGATAACACATTTCCTGTATAATTTTACATATAAAATGACCGATATATTTTTGATATTTTGCAAATATAAAACTATAATGAGAACATAAAATATGGTAGTATAAATTATTTTCGCACTTACCTACATACAGGGTGTCCCAATAGTCTGTGGACATAGAATTAATATGTATTTTTGGAACCAAAATAAATTCATTGGACACAATATACCTCTATACAAAAATTGCTTCGTTTGTCCGCTAGAGAGTATCAAACTTGAAAAAAATAAACACATTTTTTCTGATATTTTCAGAACCGTTATTCCGATTTGAATGTGATTCTGAGTTGCTTTAGTGCTTTAACATTTGGCGTTCACAAAAATCAAGAAAAAAATACGAGAAGGGTGAAAACTACCCTCACCCCTACATAAATTTTAGTATAAATATTAATTCCGCCGACGGCCGACTTTCTTTTCGTAAAACGGTCACTCTAGTAATTACTACATTTTTTGTGTCTTTTCTTGTAAAAACCGCCACCGTGCTTACTTTTTGAGGATAAAATTATTTTTCAAAAGCTGACTTCCAAAAAAATGTTTTTTGTCACATTAAGTTATGGAGGCGCATAAAATCTATTATGCTATAATAATCTAATCTATATATAGCGAATCTTAATGTTAGTATCACAAATTATATTTGATAATAAACCTCACAAAAAGCTTAAAAAAATAATAATTCTTAACTTAATTACCGTTCGGGCTTATTTTTTATTGATGCCCTCTAACGGACAAACGAAGAACTTTAGTATAAAGGAAATAAATTATGTGCAATTAACTTATTTTGAGAGAGATAAAAAAAAGTAGTAAATACTAGAGAGACCATTTTACGAAAAGAAAATCTGTTGTCGATGGAGATGTTTAATGCCATATACCCGCTTGTCAATATATTTTCTCTTTCAATTTTCGACCATTCTGAAAATTGCCCATAACCCCCTTTTCATTATGCCAAATAATACAATTACTATACGATAAAGTACACTCTTATGCACTTTTTTAAGCACAATCCAGTGGCGTAATCAAGTTTTTCTATTCTTACGCATTTTGAGTAGAAATATGTTTGTTGTATAAATGTCCATTTTTAGTCTTTTACAACGATATAAAGTTGCGAATATCTATTTCGAATAGAAAAATAGTAGGTATTTTTTTCTTTATATCGAAGCGGCGGGGTTTGTAGAATATAGAATGACTGGAAGGGGGGTTAATCACCGCGACCTTAAAGGGGGGACAGGGTATTTCCCATCCTCCTCTAACAATAGCTGTTCATCCTCCGAGACATCTACCTCCTGCGACGGTATACATTTATCCATTCCGTACATGTATACGGCACCTAGCAATTCTATTGTTCAGATTTGAAATTTAAACCAATTAAAGTCCGAGTGCCATATGCGAGTATGGAATGTAAGACAGTACCATATGCACTTACGGTATGTACCTTAGACATTACTATTAACGCTTTGTTATAGAGCATTTCAACCAATTCCAAACCAACCCCATCAAATAGCTAACCTAACCAACGCAATCAACCCCACCAAATAACTATCTTAACCAACGCAACTAACTCCACCAAATATTCAATCTAACCCCACCAAAAAGAGTGAAACCAACGCAATCCGTATTTTGATTGCTATTAAATATTTACAGGTTTTTAAAAAAAAATAAAAAAGTCGTGGTCCGGCGTGAGACTTGAACCACGGACCTCTCGTTCACGAAGCGATGGCCTGTCACGAGGCCACAGCTACTCCTGCAAGATTAGCTATAGCTAGGCGTTACTTTCTGCTGCAAGCATAATTACCAGGTACATTCCGTAAGTGCGCATGACACTGTCTTACCTTCCATACTCGCTTATGGCAATCGGACTTTAATTGGTTTAAAATTCAAATCTGACCAATAGGATTGTGCTAGATGCCATATACATGTACGGAATGTATAAATGCCGATGGCATTCACCCTTACATAGCCAGATTTATATCGTTGAGAGTGGCTAAACAACGATATTTTTTACGTTCATAGCCAACTATAATTTTTATTTAAAAAAATATATATATATTTTTATTTCTGACATAAAAAGCAAGTATAGAAAAAAAACTGATTAAGCCACTGGGTTGTGCTTAAAAAATGCCTTAAGAATGTATTACAGAATTTTATTATTCCGCGAATTAAAAAAGTTATGGACAATTTGCAAAATGGCCAAAAAGACTTATAAAAAGTTAATGCTAAAATATAGTAAAATGTCATTTATTTTCATTCATTTGGATCTGTATGATATATTGGATACCCATAAGATTATGTATGTAATATTAACCAAGTATTAACCTAGGGTAAGAAGTCGAAAAAGTGTTAGACATAATATCACAAGCAGGAGTAGTTCAGCCAGTAGTGCCAACAAATACTTGGACACCGAGACGGAAATGCTTGGCAGCGTTGTCAATTCACCTATTTACACTCCAAAAAGAAATCGAAGTCGAAATTTGAAGTCGAGAGGTTGTTCAGGTAAAAACAAAAGATATTTGAACCAAAAATTTAACTATTTTTTTTCTGTAGGACTTCTAGTCTCTCTTTTTCCACAAAATATAGTATATTGTGTTATTAGGAGTAAAAATGATACTTTTGTGGCTATGCACTAAATGTCATTTTTACTTGGAATAGAACATGCTATTTTTTTTCAAACGTCAGAAATAATTTTTTAAACAATTTCAAACTTTGCAAATAATATAAAAATATTTAAAAGTAATAAAAATAATTGGGAAGATACGCAACCTAATGGGCGAATTCGTGACAAGGCTGATTTGATTTCCCCTTACGTATTAAGTGCTGTACGGTGGAGACAACAATCGTTCTGCGGTCAACACATAAAACACTTATTTTCTCTAATTCGGCCAACAAAAGCATATCGAAAACGATGTGGATTTGAAAGGGACAGTGTTGCCATATTAAAATGTGTAATATATGTAATACGTTTGACGAAAATATTTTTGGATGAAAAATCCGCGTTTATGTATTGAAAATTTATTCCTGTAAAACATAGAATAAACAACAAAAATAGAAATTCTTTTATAGGTATTGAATGTGTCGTATGGTCTAAAAAAGTCGTTTAGTTGGTTTGGAAATGACGATTATATTGACATTTACCATAATTTTTTACATATGAAATAACAGCGATCTTCATTTCCAAGCCAACTCTGACGCCGTTCTTTGTTTAATCACATAATATTATATTAAATTGTTTAATGATCCGTATCAGAAAATCCGTATTATTAACGTACTGTACCAAAATCCGTAAATCTACTGTTTAATCAGTAGTTCTGGCAACATTGTCTCTGGCAACCACTCACTCTGTCGACTGAAAGCAGAACTACGATCTTCTACGGTACAGTATCCTTTATCCGCTGCGCTATAAATGACAATCAGCGCGCAGCGGCGCAGAGCTAAACTAAATCTTGGAATTCTCGGACAGGCTGACGTGGGCTGACGCATTTAACTAATGGGCTGACGGTAACGCCAGCTACATTTTGCGACGATGCGAATCATAAGGTTGCGCATCTTCTTATTTCTTCAATCAACGGTAATACCTTGTAAGTATTTAATTATATATCACTCGTTGAATTTGACACTTTATGCCAGGTTAATAATATAATTTCGTACTTTTATTTATGCTTAGGTTTTTTAAGTGCTTTACTTCTATTAGACCAGTCGACAAGTGGTTTTAGGTGGAAATAATTAGGGGCAAGCTGCAATAACACTTATGCTCTTTGTTTTGCTTTGTTGAATACTTTACTAAATTTGCACGGTTTATCGATCCCGGATTTGGCCGCCATATTGGAAAATCCTGTCAAATTATAACATTTTTATGTTTTTTTTTAAATAACTCGGTCTGGGTGCACTGTACAGAAAATTTGAAAGATACCAAAAAGAAAGCTATTTAAATTCTCTATAAAAAAGGTCCTATTCACCGATTTCGTGCATGAACAGGTTAACGAGATACAGGCGCTTAAATACAAAGCATATATTTTCTAGTGGTTCATTTAATATGAGAAACTGATTCTATGTAAATTTGAATAATTTGTCAGTACTAATTTTTTTAACTAATGTTTTTCTTGTGCTCGTTTCTACACCACCCGGCGGTACAGCACTCGGCGCACTTTTTTTAAGTGGTTTCCCCTATAGGCCTAATCCTAATCTTTGTGTCTTACTTCGGAATGGTATAATGAAACACTAAAACTAAAAGTCGCCCGAACTGGTTTGCGTAATTGACCGCACCCCGGCTGCCGTCTCGCGCTGTTTTCGAATAGATCAAGTATCAAATTTAACGTAGCGCACATTAAGATGTATTTAAAAAAAATTGGCACCGGGAGGCACGTATAGCCGCCCATACTAAAATATGTTAATAAAAAGTTTGTAGGCAGTTCTTTTAGTTTCAAAGTAAAGGAATTTTTCCAATTTTGGTCCACGGTTATTTCCCCTATCCGCCACCTGGGGTCGCGTCCGATGGGAGTTTGGAGTTCTACACACGGATTTTCTCAAAAACGGAATACGGAAACACGGAATATCTCAAAAACTGCGACTTTGACTGATTTTGATGTTATTACAAATTTTGTTGCAAATATTATTCCTAATCTTAAATTGAAAACCGCGTTTCGCTAGCTACTGTAATTTTGGTGTTTGGTTCGGTTCGATTTTTTATAATTTTTAACCCTCTCCCATACCCCCCAACCCCACCAAAATCTAATGGCCAGATTCTCGGGTGCCACAGTATTTTTGTGCCAAATTTGGTTAAAATTGGTTTAGAGGTTTTTGAGTTATCGTGTTACAGACGGACAGACAGACAGACACCATGAAAATATTTTGTATTTAGGTCACATATGACCCAAATAACTCATTTTCAGTGAAATTAAAAAAAAAACGTTTTTCTTGCCGATCTTAATAGCCTACCATACCTGTTGGTATGGTCACAGATTATATAGATTATAAACTTATCGTCAAAAGCATTGTTTTTCGTTCGGTTCCAATTTTCGGAGTCGCGCACTAGTTAGGTTACTAGTTTGCGCACAAGCACGCCCACTTATGGCCTCTAAAACTGTGCATAGCGCTTGACCGGCCCGGCCTTGTGACCGGCCTAGTTATTACGCTGTTTAAACGGGAGTTTACTTTTGCGCAAAGAAAATTTACTCGTTTGCTCATCGTCATAAAAAACAATTTTCGTACCACGAATTAGGGACAAGATTTTAATCTGTATACTTATAGGATACCTAATCTGTGGTATGGTCCGCTAATAAGCCTTAGATGTTAATTGCTATAACTTTAGAACTGATAAATTTACGAGAATAATAATTAATAGAACCTTTTTTGTAGAGAATTTAATTTGCTTTATTTTTGGTTACCTGCATTTTTTTCTACAATGCACCCAGACCGAGATATTTTAAAAAATCCATAAAAATGTAGATTTATATCGACTTTTTCAAAATGGCGGCCAAATCCGGGATCGACAGACCGTGCAAATTGAATATATCATTCAGCACATCAAAACAAAGAAAATAAAAAATAATTCAGCTTGCCCCTAATTATTTCCACAGAGGCCTATTTAAAACGACGCCGACGTACCGACTGGCTTATATGCCTAAAATGGCTTTTTTATATTGCCAATCACGTCGTCAAAATTGATACCTTTGTGACGTTATGGTGACGTTTAAAAAAAAATAATTAGATGTAAATTTTCCCTTAGGAAATAGTTCTAGAGCGAATTCCAGACATCGAGGACCCAAAACCAAACAGGAACAGACCCTAGATTATCAGCGATTAGAAGAAAAAATCGAAAGTTTACAAAAAATGCTTAAAAATGGGCTAAAAGAAAACTAGAACATTTTTTGTTTATTTTATACATGTTTTTTTTAAGAAAGATACAACAGTATACAGAAATAGCTTTATATTTAAAAAAAAATATATTAATAAAATATAGATCTATAAATATAATAATATACAGTCAGTATGTCATTTCAAAGTAAAATGTTTTCAAAAAATAGAAATAAATGTGTTCATAGTAAAACTAAATCGTGTTATGATTATTTTTCACTATCTTCACTAGATTAAATATGTATCTATTAGCTGTACATCTAAATATAATTCATGCTTAGCATTATTTATGTAATTAATACGGAATATAAATAAATATATCAATTTATCTAACGAAATAAATATTTTAACAGTTAATTTAAAAAAAAAATCATGTATGTAATATCGCTTCATAATTTATAGTCTACTCTGGACGGAATGTAAATTATTTAAAGACCCTTCTACACATAACGTTTCACCTGTCAGGTAAGATAAATTAAAATCTGCGGTTTTATAAATTATAGCATTGTATTTAGTGAAGTTGTAAAGAAAAAATATCTCTATACTATATAAAATGTAAAATTACATTTCGTCAGTGAAACAAGATAACCTGCTAACTCAATTTTTGATATTAAGTAAATAATACGTTTGATACATCATTTTGCATAAACTTTTTAACGAAATATTTAATTTTAATGTTCACCAAAAATATTATTGTTATCTTATATTATCATATTATTATCATATTAGGCAGTTTTGAATTGGTGTGGTTAAGTTTTGTTGCTTACAAATTACAATTCCGGTTAACGCTAATTGACAACTTTGACATTTCAATTTCGATTATCGTATAACGTAACCGCTAACTGCCGATATTTTAGGGACGTCAGCCAAAGCCGTTAACATAGCGGTACGCATGCGCACTAGCGCAGTAGAACACACTATTGAGAAATACAGATCTAACCTAAGCTCATTCTATTTTGTTTATGTTTTGATTATTTAATATAAAAATGGGTTCAAATAGTGTGCTAAAAAACTTTAAAAGAAATAGAGTTCGGTTTATAGAAGAAGACGATCAGATTTTACTAACTGAAATATTGGCTAACAATCCTTATGAAGATACTTCCAAATAGAATGTGGTGGTTTCGAATTTTTCAGAAGCTACTGGAAAAGAGGTTTCAGTTAGGGGAGTAAGGGAACATGTTAAGGCTTGGTATTTTACACAGTGGTGTCTCTTATGGCCTGAATAATATGCTTCTTGGTTTTGTGAAGGTCTGCATATTCCTCTAGTAGTGCCATTAATAAAGGCCCAACAGTTATGGATGGGGGAACCCTTCTGCTGTACTGCATTGGCATACATCCTAAATCTTTCCAAATTTAACCATGGCACATTCTGCAAATTTGAGAGAAAATTCCCGAAGTTCTCATATACGTGAATCATATAAAATCAACTATTTTTGATAAGGCGGTCACTGATCGTCCAAAGACAGGTTCTAAATCAAGAAGCCTGTTGGGATAGCTTAGCCTTTTGAGTAAGATACACAGTCCATCTTGCCCGGAAACTTTATGTTGACTATCTGTGTTAAACTCGCTGGGAATTCTTAGTTCTTCAACTAATCGAGGAATTACTTTTTTTTCAAAGCGGAAATTAGCTTTGCACACTTGGTCAGATAATATTTCTAGGTTGAACTCCCCATAAAGTTCTGCTTGATATTGGATGTTGTTTTCAAATCCTTCCAACAGCATAGCATCCTCCAAATACGATTCATCACTAGAGTCCAATAAAATTAAATTGTCCATTCTATATAGCGATCCCAATAAAGTCATATAAAGCACTTTCAAATCAAACAACAATACAAAAACCAAAAATTAAAACACTACGCTATGGGCTGTGCTCTCAGTCAGCTGTCAGTTTTCGGTTATCGTATCCATGAACCGATGAACCGAAAGTCCGAAAAATTTTTTATAACTGTCAAAATAGCGATTATGGTTACGTATCCGTGAACCGTACCGTTGAATTTTTTTAAAGCAACGAAAACTCCCTATAACGCGTGAATATACTTGCTACATGTGTACATATATTTTTTTGTACCGTTTATTTTCTCTCCTCTAAAATTAGGAATAATGGAGTTAGCAGTTTATCGCAGTTCACCGACGATTTGTTTTGTAAAACTATGCGAAAAGAGAAGATTTTAAAGTAGCTTATTAAAGGTGCCATAATATACCGATCTGGTCATCGAAACTGCGTGGTCTGGATTTTAATGTGTAATACAGTGATGTAGACAGTGTAATGGAAACTCAAATGTATTAAAAAGAGATAAAAGTTGGATTGATATATTTCTAAGCGGTACTGCCGGATTTTGCATCACAATTTCAAACCGCACAAGTAGGCCTTTATGAAAAATGTTGCATCTACGGTTGGAAATTTGTTTTTCACAATTAGTTAGTCATTTTACTACAGCTGTAATAGATTATATTTAGCTTAGATATATTATCTTCATTTCAGTAGTATACATAAAAGTTTTTAAAATAGTTTATTTTTTCTACACACGTTTTTCTACAAATGTAAAAACCGGCAACATTGTATGCCGCTTTCTATTTTGTCTCCCTGTCTGTTAACCGGTCATGTATGATTATCTCTGTCGCATGCATTAAAATACAGACCACGCAGATGAAGTGACCAGATGTACTATACAATATTATTTATAGTAAAATTTATATTTTCAGTGTAGGCAAAACGTCAATTTCGGGTTTCAGTCGATATTACGGACAGTAAAAACGTAAAATTTTCTATAAAGATTAAGTAAAAACATCGGATAATAGCACTTTATTACCTTATATAGATGTGGATTAATCTAAGTTAAGCATAAAAATTGAATATAACCTCTTTGTAAGCGCAAAAATTAAGAAAATATTTTAGGTATTTACAATATTTCGAGCTAGCAGCCATTGCCTTTTTGAATGACAGTTGATCGAAGGCCTTCACATACCATTTGCGACGTTGTCAATATAATGGTTTTATATGATTTTCTTTATCAAGTAATTTTGTTACCCTATAAAAATTAATATTTATTCGTAATAATTGAAGTTATCATATTACAGCTCTAACAATCATAACACGCTGCGATTTTGCAAAAATACTGTTAGTTTGGTTAGGTTTTCGGTTGGTTTGGTTAGGTTTTGGATTGCTTTGTTTAAGTTTTCAGTTGCGTTGGTTAGGTTTTGGGGGTGGTTTGGTTTGATTTCCGTAGATAACCCTTTTTTTACGTATTATATAAAAACGCAAGAGCCAGAAAAATTGGCGTTAAATAGCGGCAACATCGCATAGGGTAATGTCATCATATGCTTGTATCATCTGTCAAAATTCATCTGCGGTATTAAATAGTACCATAATTTTATTTCAATATTTTAAAATTTACTGAATAATCCGCAATTTTTTTTGCTAAAATTACCTATTAAAACCCGTACTTCTGAGGAAAATTTTTGTTTTCTTAAACTTATACTGCCTGATGTCCGTAAAGACAAACGGACCTCAATTTTATTGTAAAAATGTCCTTCCGTGTATCCGGTTCAACAAAAGGACTGTTTTTTCGTCTACACTTGACTTTTACTTAATATGTTTTGACTGAACAGGTAAGACTGAGAGGTAAAACGTTATGTGCAGACGGGGCCTACGACCTAAATTTAATTTCGTAATTAAAACTCCCATGTTTCTAACCATTTTAAACCGCGCATTGTAGAATTCGGTTCGTTAGATGATGGTCCACTCATACCATAGGCCAAAGGAGCAAATAAATAAAAACTATATACGATCACAGAAAGCACCAAACCAAAAAGTATATGATATACGGTTTTAGCGTTTTGTTCGCTAAATATTTTAGGAATTTCGTCATGTAGATAATCGATAATAATGCCTAAAATATTTCAAAATATACGATTTTTCAATACAGATTCTTGAAACAGTTCTGTTTACAGCTGGTCAAATATAAGATATTGACAATTTTGCCACCAGCACCGATGCCGCTTTACAATCCAAACAGGGAAGGTGGGTATATGATTGACCTATTAAATTGATTTCGGTCACTTCCTGTTTCACCGGAAATTACTACAACTTTTGATTTTTAAATGGCACCCTCAGTATATTTTTACTTTATTCGATAGAAAATGACGCTCCGAATGGAATGACATATTATATGTCAACTTTTGAAATTTTCGCTTAAAAAAATCGTATTTTAAATTTCAATCTAGAGTGCCATGGCTGTGTTAAAAACACTAATTTTTAATCAAGAAACCTTGGAAAAATAACAACGTTGGTTTATTAGCATATTTGGAAAAAGCATTTTTTAAGAATAATTTGGTACCACACACTTGGTATTTCGAGTCAAATTGTCGTTATGAACCGTATGTTACAATTCCAAATAAACCATATGCAAAAATGTCAAAAGTTGACATATGATATGTCATTCTATTCAGAGTGTTATTTTCTATCAGATAAAGTAAAAAATACCGAGGGTTCTATTTAAAAGTCAAAAGTTGTAGACATTTCCGGTGAAACAGGAAGTGACCAAAAACGATTGAATACCTCACTCAATCCTAATTTATGTCATATACTAACATACCAAGTCTCGTTTTTTAACTGAAAAAATAAAAATGTTATAGAGGTCAGCCATTTTGGGACGCATCCGGTATTTTAATTTATTTGAGTATATTTGGCCATTTTATTGACAATACATATTTTCCATAGTATATTCAAAGTATTAGGGAAGATTTCGACGACATCCAAAAAATGACATAAAAATGAAATATTTTTGTATATCATCCTATATTTGACAAACTGTAAACTGTAACTGCAAAATAATTTACCTGTGATCATCGAACTGAAAAGCAAAGCTGGAAAATAATGATGGAAATATAACACTCTACCCATTCCCCAAAAGGGGACATAATGTAATAACCAGCCCACAAAAAGCCAAGCACAAGCCTTCAATTTCAATCTGTGGGGTTCTAAAAGCAAAAAAAATAATAATACAGTATAAAAAAATAGGTGATCACTAATACCAGAGAAAGACTCAATATATCCCCTTTGAAGTTTTATGGCATTTATTAGAAACATTATTAAGAATAGTACAATAAATATTACATTACTCCACCATATGACTGGATTTCCCAAAAGGTAAATTCGGTATTGTGAGCCAGAAAAAAATTGACCCTGAATAATAATAAAAAAAATGTAAATATAAAATAAATTTAAAATAATAGTCTATTTACTCTATAGTTTATTGGCCACTGCCATGGCCTTGAAGTGATTTCTCCTTCTTTAGGCTTCAATCCTGCATTCCCTTGAAACATTACAGCATGCGATTCAAAAAATCTTTCTAAGAAACTAGGGGCGTAGACTTCAAAGTTTACATTTGGTACTGAAATTTCCTAAATTAAACATACATCTCATATACTCCACGCGGTTCTTACATGCATCAAATATATTTTCTTCTACATTCCATAAGCCATTGGGATCTCTGAGATTAGGATTGCAAGATACTTCTTGTTGTTCATATGCCCATTTCGGTAATTGCTTTCCACTAGTTGTAAGTACACAGGATTGAAGATAATGAACAAATTTTAATTTACTTTTAACAGCCGTAATCTCTGTTCCATCTTTTGCATCTAAATTTAAATTTTATTTTTTATTTAAACAAATTTTTAAAATTTTATGACAGATTTTTTATGTTGCAGCATTTAATTTTAACCTATTTCCTTTTTTCGTGATTAACCAATTTTATGGTATTGATTTAGGTAATGTCATAGCTTAGTTCGGTTTTTTATTACCGATTTTGAACCGTCCTAGAACTATGCTACGCATGAATAGGGAGAGAGACAGAGATATACAGGATGTTTCAAAAAACATGTGCCATCTCTCGTGGGGAGATTCCTCATGTAAAAATTTTTATTCATGCAAAAAGATTTATTTTTCATATCAACATAGATCTGATTCTGCTTTGTTTCGTAGCTACAGGGTGTAGGTTGCTACAGGTGTCTTAATAATCTTTCGATTTATTATAATTTTCTTCGACGTACTTTTAGTGATTTGAATGAAATTTTGAGGGTAAAATTTATTATAAGTGTTACATATTTTAATGCTAAAAAAGTGTCGATAAATTCATTAGGGACGTGCATATGGGTTATCACTGGAATATTTTTCAAAAAAAAACATGTGCGCTACTGACTTTTTTTTGATATCAAGTTGTGTAGGCCGTTTAATGCCAATTAAAAGTTATCTTTGGATATTTTGTCGAATTCCGCCTCCTTGATGAGATAAACGCAATTTTATTAATTACAATTAATAAATTATATATTTGACCTAATTTATTGTTAAATATTATTACTATTAGTCTAACGTACAGCAATTGCAAATAAAAAAATAATGGTATTTAAGATAATTTTACAAAAAAAAACTAATTTTAAAAAGTTTTAACATCCTGTAGCTCTAAAACTATGCATTTCCATATCTATGTTTATAGGAACTATTTTTACTAAGAGTACTTATCTAAATCTTTCGCAAGTTAATGATATTAATTTTTTTAATGCTTGCTATTAGACTTGGATCAAGGCAAATTAATAAAATTGCATTTATCTTATCGAGGAGGCCGAAAATCGACAAAAATCAAAGGACAACTTTTAATCGGCTTTAAACTGCTTACACTATTTCGCTAACAAGAAAAAAAAGTCAGTGGCGTACATGCTTTTTTAGAAAAATGATCCAGTGATAACCCACATGCACGTCCCTGGTGAATATGTCGACACTATTTTAGCTTTAAAATATGTCACATTTATAGTAACTTTTACCCTCAAAATTTCATTCAAAACGTAAGTACTTGGAAGAAAATTATAATAAATCGAAAAAATATTAAGATTTTAACACCCTGTAGCTGCGAAACAAAGCAGAATCGGACGTTTATTGATATGAAAAATAAATCTTATTTTTACATGGGGAATTTCCCCACGAGAGATGGCACATGTTTTTTAAAACACCCTGTATATGCAGCAAATTTTTCATCTGCGCACGCGCTGTATGTTCTAGGACGGTTCAAAAAAGGTTCAAAATTGGTAATAATAAAAACCCGAACTAAGCTAATATGAGTTACTGAAGCTACCTTGCACTATAACTCTCCACACATCGTTTGCATCACCCACACCATTTTCTCCATACCCTGTAACTTGATAATGCTTTTTTGTTATTGGTGCATGTTCCTTATGGGAGTGAATGTTTCTCTTTGTTGCTACATGCTCCAATCTTATTAGATCACCGCTGCGAACTATTTCTACTCCATCAATTTCTTCAGTATTATATTTTTTAATTAACCACTTATTATTGTCATCTTTATGTGTATATGTGGTGATCTAAATATCACAGGTAAGTATATTTATGAAATTATGCAAATGTAATCATTAAAAAAATACAATTATACCTGCTGTTGACGCGCTCCCATACCCTCAGGATATAAATGAAAATGAGAATGTAAATAGCCACCTCCAGTTCGGTGATTTTTAAGCGTAACTACAGCGCCATACGCCACTTGGTATGGCATACTGGCATTATATAAACTATTTCCAATTAGCTGTGATTGAAAGGCTGAACTGTAGAAGCCATCTCCACTGCCGCTATAAAAGTAATATAGATTATATAAAATATAATGAACAATTCTAGTATTATTTTTGCATACCTTCGGTTTAATACCTTTAAGTGTATATAAAAAAATATTGTATACAAGCATATAGGTAAAATGATTAAACTAAATGCTCTTGCAAAGAAATGCTTTATTGTATCAGCCTGAAAATAAATAAAAAAGTTAAATTATTATTTTTCAAATTCAATAACATTTAAAAATATAATTATATATGATTTTTTAAAGCGCGCCACTGTAGTAGATTAAATGTGTTTTACAGAAGTAAATATTTTCTATGGCTAAATTAGTTCAGTTATCTTATCTATGGTATGGTTGTCACATTTTTCCTCTTTACCTGTCATACGATAGAAGTTTGAAATGATTTACCATTCTTAAATAAGAACAAATTTAGATATGTTCATTCTACACAATGAAACCTAAAAGAATAACTAAGCTTTACAATGTTTACCGCTCGTTATTTGTTTAGAGGTAGTTCTTTGGGTAATTTTAATAACCATATTCTAAGATGTGAGGTTAAAAGTACCTTAATCAAGTACAAATCACAAAACCTTATCCGGATTAAATCAACTACAGCATCAACAGTTTTACCCAACGATAATAAGTCATCTGGAGTGCCGGTCAAGGAAAAAGTAGCAGCTAGGATAGTAAACAGTGCTCCTCAAAATATTCAACCATATCTGAAGTTGATGAGATTGGATAGACCGATTGGATCATGGTTGTTATTTTGGCCATGCAGCTGGGGCATAGCATCAGCTGCTGCTCCAGGCTGTTTTCCTGATTTCTATATGCTAATGCTGTTTGGTACAGGAGCTTTAGTCATGCGTGGAGCTGGTTGTACAATAAATGATATGTGGGATAGAGATATTGATGCAAAAGTAGAGAGAACAAAAAATAGGCCACTAGTAAATAATGAAATAACTATGAAACAAGCTGTTCTATTTTTAGGTGGCCAACTAAGTCTCGGTTTGGCAATATTGCTTCAGTTAAACTGGTATACTGTGCTTGTAGGAGCGAGCTCTCTTCTTTTAGTTATATCATATCCTTTGATGAAAAGATTTACATATTGGCCTCAGCTTGTGTTAGGATTTACTTTCAATTGGGGAGCTTTAGTTGGATATAGTGCCATAACAGGATATATTGAACCTACTATTTGTTTACCTTTGTATTTGGCGGGTGTATGTTGGACTCTAATTTATGACACAATATATGCCCATCAAGACAGAGAAGATGATTTGCGAATAGGGATAAAATCAACAGCACTTAAATTCAAGGAAGATACAAAACTATGGCTGAGTGGATTTGCAACATTTATGACTGGTTCTTTGGCCTTTTCGGGGCTAATGAATTCACAAACATGGCCATATTATACAGCAGTAGGATTAGTAGCTAGTCATCTTGCCAATCAAATAGTTACATTGAATATCAATAGTGCTTCTGATTGTTCAAAGAAGTTTATTTCCAATTCTTGGGTGGGCTTTGTTTTATTTTCTGGGATATTTTTAGGTAATTTATTGAAAAAAGATGTTAAAACTGAAGAATGCGGAATAGTGGAAAATTGTAATATTGTTGTTCCTTTAGTTAATTAGTGTACCTAACACATAATTAAATGTTTAGCTTATGAACCTGTTTAAATGTGATAAATAACCAAAATAAATTTATGATACAACACTGCCATTTATTTCTAAAATACAAAACTTACCACTGGCCTAGTCATATCTCCTAAACAGTTCCATAAATCTGCTATAGTAACTAAACCGACCAATAAAACTACAAACAATCCAACAAATTTGACAGACATGCAGCAAGCTAACATTATTCCGGTAAAAATTAACCATGTCCACCATTTTACGGAAAAATCTTCTGTGTTATATGATACTTTTACTGCTCCAAGAATAGCACCCATCATAAAACATAACAACAATGGATCTAACAGTATATACTGTGTAAGAGTTATTAAACCAACATCTAAAATAATTATTCAGTTACTCACAGATGAAATAAAAATGTAAAAATATTTTCCTACCAAATAATACAAGTAACGATGAAAATAAAGCAGCTGTTGGACTACTGGTCATTTGCTCTACTGTTAAAAAGGTCATGGGAACAATTGAAGCCCCGAGAGTGGCACAAAATACTCGCATTCCCACATAACTTGTATTTTCATATTTATCTCCTGGTTTATCAAAGGGAAAAGTCCCATCATAACCAGTTAAATATCCCGAAAGACCTATTAGCATCTATAAAAATACACATGAGTACTTGGGTTCAAAATACGGTTTTACATAAATTCTTACTTTACCAAGTGGAGGATGAACATCAAAGAAAAATGTCCGGTTTATGTACCAACTTCCCATTTTTCCAAAATGAGTTTCATCCCAACTAAAATAATTAAATATAATGTAGGAAACCAATATAATAATTACATCTATGTAAGTTACCATATATGATCTGGCTCTTGAATTTTATAAAACCTAGTTGCAATTGTTAAAAAACATATTATGATAAACAGGCAAATTCTAAAAAAGATTGTAAAATAAAATTAGGGCAAATTACATTTTTGTATTTTACCTTTTATCTAAGATTTTAGATTTTTCCATGTTTCTTGTACGTCTTTCATATAGTTCGGTTTATTTTTAAAGACTTTTTAATTCAAAACATTTTATTATTATAAAAAAATATTTATACTGCTGAACTGAAAGCTAAAATGCAACGTATACAAGTCACAAATCACAATATTTATTTTTTCTCTCAAACTTTCATATATAAATATCTAGCTCTCTCTCATCATATATAAATATCTTCAAACACTTTGCCTATTTTCCCTTCAGTGGCGCCCGCCAAACAGAAAATGCAGAAACAATACAAAACATATTTTACTAATTTTAACTTTACTGTAATCACTGTAATATACAGATTATAGGTACTATTTTTAATAACGTTGTACTATGTATTTATAAAGTAACAATTTTTAATTAATTTTATGGAAGGGATAATATAAAAGATAAAAGCTAAGATTTGGATAATAATTATGGAGTAGTTCTTTTTATGGTAGTTGAGATGACTCAATATCGACATCGACTGAAAGATTGTTGACATATGTTGTTTTTAAGAAATGCTTTGTGGTTGTTCGTAAAGTTTCCGATTCCAATAAGAAAATCTGTTTTGTAACATTTTTAAATAACTTTGTTTTAATAAATAGTAAGTAGAAATTATAATCACTTGTTCTACACGTGAATTTATATAGATTTTTGGCGTTAGAAGTATATGCACGCATAAGATGCAAACAGAGGGTCAAATAGCACCTATAAAATAAATCTTTTTTTTAGATTACACACATTTTCAATGGCTGACCAGCAACAATTTTTTCTAAAATGGAACGATTTCCAAAGCAATATGGTCTCGTCGTTTCGGCATTTGAGAGATGAGAAAAGCTTTACAGATGTTACTTTAGCCTGTGAAGGGCAAACCTGCAAGGCACATAAAATGGTTTTGTCAGCTTGTAGTCCTTATTTTAAAAGTTTGCTGGAGGTATATTTTTCAGTTTATTATTGTTATTATAATCGGTTTTATATATGTGGAATGTAAGACTAATGTACCTATAAAGTATAAGAATAATTTTACAGTCTAGCAAAAAAGGATTTTTTAAACATTAATAGATTATAACAAAAATGACAACTTTATATTGAAATTAATAATTTAATACTAATAAATATTGTGAAGTTAGAATGAACTGAATTTGTAAAAGTTATAATCAGAGTTTTTGGTATTCTTAGTTTTAACTGTATTTAATATTTGTAGGAGAATCCTTCAAAGCATCCAATTATAATTTTGAAAGATGTAGCTTATAGCCACTTGCAAGCAATTCTGGAGTTTATGTATGCTGGTGAAGTAAATGTGAGTCAAGAACAGCTGCCTGCTTTTCTGAAAACTGCTGATAGACTTAAAGTTAAAGGACTAGCCGAAGCCCCTCAAGCTATTAAACGGGAATAATATGCCTTTACCAAATTTTTAGCAAGTCAGATAATAATACCACCTAATATAATGAATATATTTTTGGTATTTTATTTTTAGGTATACAGGATCATTTATGGTTATAAAATTTTTGAAATATTTATCTGACTTGCCAAATAAGATATTTTTAGATTTTTTGGAATATATATATATATATATATATACAACTAATGGGTATTATACTTATTCATTGCGGTATGCATTAGGTAATACAAGGTTATTATCACAATTTTAAGTTAATAATTTATAATTTAAGTGAAATAAGAATATTTTTGATGTTACAGTTTGATAAATAATAGAATTTATTATGGACAATTAATTGAATTAATATTTTAAGGTTTTTAATAGTATATATGTATGTATATATATAGGCACCATATTGCCTTTGATCTCTTAAGTATATTAATTGGAAGAAATTCTTTTTTTCTATTATTCATCAAATAAAAGCAATTTATTGATGCGTGAGTAGTGAGTACTGGTAAAATAGGTATAATATCCAACATTTTAAAAATACAGAAGTAATATTCAACCAATGCGTTAAATATAAATTAATAAACAAGTTTGAAAATTGCAGGATAGTTAGTTGACTTTTAATATAATTATGGGCATTCTGTAATTTTTTCATAATGCACTACATCTTTAATTTTTATTTGTGCATCTATGTGTTCTAATTATTTTAGTAATAAACATTAGGTGCCTTTCTTAATGATAAAGAGTTCGAAAAATAAATTTAAAATAAAATCTTGATGATATAGTTTGGTGGTAAGGAAGGCATTTACTGATTTGTATAATGTACCTTTTCTTTCTCTTAAAGAGAAATATATTAAGTAACCTTTTTTATATGTATGGAAAATTCTAATAGCCTTTAATTTCATAGATATCTTATTGCATTGGATTAGTACACTTACATATTTTATATAACATTAATTTTTTCATATTATTTTTATATACTGACTTTTTATTTGGTTGAGTGGGCTGTTACATATAGGAATTATTTATAGATTTAACTCTTTCTCTAATTTCATGCTCTATTCAATATTAATAATTGTTACCATACTGTCAGACATCAATTATATCTGTTATTATACATATTTTTCTTTTTTATTAAACAGGCAAATGGATATGATTTTGGGAAATAAAACAGATATATATATGGAATATTTATTTGTTCTTATGTTTTTTTTTATGTTTTATATCCAAAATATATATCTTTAATTTGCTTGATATATTTAACAGACATGTGGATTTGCTTAATCATTGGAACAAGCAGATCTGCCTTAGTGCAAGTGTGAAAATATAGAGAGATTTTTTATTATACTGTTGTTTTCTTTATTTTTTATTTAAATATATCTTTTCTAAAAGCTGGAACTCTATAGACTTTGTGCATTCTCCGCCGGTGCTGCCACCATTGGAGAGAATATTGTAAACAAGTTGTACAAATACAGTACACAATATAGGAAGAAATACAACAAATATAGGAAGAAACTTGGGGATAGCACCGGTCGCATGTTATTTTATTATTCCCACGTCTCTAGCTATACTTATTAAGTTGTATATACAAATACACGGGTTTAAACAACAAGTATACGAAAAATTTATTATATAATTATTCTAAAAGTTATTAAGGAAGTATAATTTGTGAAAATTCTAAAAAAATTAAAAAAAAAAATATTTTGATATCTTTAGAAGGTCTAACTTTTATTATAATTTATAATTCCAGCTAAAAACTTTTTAGATGAGTTCAACTACGGTAGCGAGCATAGTTTTACGTACTGGTTTTGCTAGTGGGGTCATAATTGGAGCCATTTCGGCTACGATCGAAAATTTTTAAAGGTACATAATTATAATTTTAGAAGATGCTCATAAAATATTTAATCACTAGTTGATTAAAAAAGTATAGCAGTAATATTAAAAATTATATTTTATCCTCTCATATTAATTTTTTCCTGGCCCTGACGATCTACCTGCAGATGCGCTCAAGTTGATTGAAGAACAATACTTAGGTGCTATGGTGCTATAACTTCTCTATTTAATAAGATCTACGAAAGAGGGATGATACCAAAGGAATGGCTCTAGTCGACGTTGTCACAATTCCAAAGAAGCATAATGCCAAAAATGTGAAGAACACCGCACGATCAGCCTTATGAGTCACACACTTAAGATCTTTCAAAGTCATCCACCGCAGGATTTACAGAGAATTAGAAGAATAGTATATAGCAGATACTCAGTTTGGCTTTAAAAATGGTTTCGGTACTAGGGAGGCTTTTTTTGACTACAATGTCTTAATGCAGCGATGCCTTGATGTCAATCAAAATGTATATGCCTGCTTTACTGACTATAATAAAGCATTTGATAAAGCAAGACACAAGCAACTAATAGAAGCGTTAGAACGAAAAAATCTCGATACAAGAGATATACAAATACATAATAGTAAAACTGTACCTCAACCAAAGTGCGTCTGTTCGTGTCAATCTGAACTGACGAGAGTAGAGGGACAGGCAGGGGATATTAAACGAGGAGTTAGACAAGGATGTGTTCTTTCACCACTCCTTTTCAACGTCTACTCAGAGGAAATCTTTAGCAAAGCCCTCGAAAATGATGCTGGTGGAATACGAGTTAACGGCATACCACTGGACAATTTGCGCTACGCTGACGATACAGTCCTTCTCGCTGAAAACATGCAAGACCTTCAGAATATGCGTTAAATAACGTCATCACAACTAGTCGAGAATATGGCCTGATACTCAATGTTAAGAAGACCAAATACATACAGTACGTCTGTCCGTTCCGTAACTACGGGGTATCCGTGAAGGAAACGATATTCTCTCGATGTTTTTCGTAAAAAATTAGAAGACGCGTCCCATCAATAAAAATTCGACAAATTTGCAAGTAGCCAATAAAACGAGTGGGCGGAGCGATTTGCGGTGACGTACTCGTCAAGTCGACGTATAAAATATATTGCTGTTTATTTAAATATTTTTTGTCCGCATTCCTTTCATAGACACAGATCCAGCAGACGTACTGTATGATTGTCACTAAAACTGGAGTGGCCAATGAACATCTGTACGCGGAAGGCGAGGAGCTCGAAGGAGTAGAGAGGTATTTTTAAGAAATACGCAGTGGTTTAACAACTATTAACTATTTATTTATGCATTACTTGAAGCGTACATGCAGTCACAAAATCTATCTGTCAACTATCTATAGTAATGTGGTAATAGGAATGGTATAGAATATCGATACAAATAAATAATAAGGATTTTAGTGTATTCTTCTCAACACCCCTGATACAAGGACGGTTAGGTTAACCTAACCCTTATGTATCATGTGCTCAAATGTTACGTATTCCCAGTCCTTTGGCTTGGACCCTCAACGAGCTTTGCGAGCGGAAACTGGAGGCCTTTGAGATGTGGGCATACCGTAGGATGTTGAGAATACCAAGGACAGAACATGTAACCAAACTGGAGGTTCTGAGAAGAATGAAGAAGGGTGTAGAGATCCTCAAGGAAGTGCAAAAAAGAAAATTGCAATATCTCGGCCATATCATGAGAGGTCCAAAGGTATGAGATTTTGCAACTCATAATCCAGGGAAAAATTCAAAAAGTTGTTGCTTTTTTAAAAAAAAATGATACTATGTAATGCGACAACTGCCACGATAGCAAATTCAAAAAGTTCCCTATATCCCTTTACATAGGTATAAAAATTTGTCTTAGGAGTCCAAACATCGTAAAAAAAATCGGTCAAAGAAAGAATAAGTTGTTCAGAATGTTATTTTACGGTATACCCAAGTATTATCATTCATAAAAATACAGGGGGGTTAAAAGATAGCATTTTATATATTCTTCTATGCATAAGAGCGTTTCGAAAAATCTCAAAATTCTCAATCTTAACAACCCATGCTATCTACTTGAATGTCAGAAGTCTGCAATATTGGGAACTTGCTGAATAGTCCATAAAGTTTTGCAATGTTAAGGTGGCTACACACACTACTGTAAGCTAGACAAGAATGCATGAACAATCTTTTTGTACAAACTATAGCGTCTGTAGGAAAAATTTGCGCAAGCATTTTAATTATGCAAGCCGCTTGATGATTGATTGAATTTGAATCATGCAAGCTTGGACAAGCCATGCTTGCGCAAGCGAAACGGTACGTGTGTACCACATGTATTCAGCTTCTACAAACAATTAGTTCAGTCCGTGATCGTAAATGACCTGTAAGTCGCGTCGCCATCATGTCTAGCGATCTGAAAAGGAGCAATCGAGGATTATTGGAAGATTTTATTCGCTCATACGAAAATCAGCCGTGCCTTTGGCAAATTAAATCACCAGAATGTGATGATAGGGTGAAGAAGGATGACAGCCAAGCCGATAAGGATGCCGTTATTAAAAAGATAAATGCCTTCAGGATTCCTTCTTCTTTTTCGCGGACTTTCTTCTGCTTTTTCGCGGCATAAACTGAAGCTTGTTCAAGCATGCACGTACCGTGTGGCGGCCAAGGTAAATTATACATGCTTGTACAAAAAGATTGTTCATGCATGCTTGTCAAGCTTGCAGTAGTGTGTGTAGCCACCTTTAGCCCGCACAGTGAACTTCTTGGAAACAGTTTCCCGAGATCACTTGTCAACCAGACATTTGATTTTCTTCTTCTTATCACGCCCTCTCCTGCCGAAGGTTGGCGATCCAAATGGCAATTGTGGCTCTGGAAACTGCAGCCCGGAAGATATCCGTAGACGAGCGTTCAAACCATCTCCTCAAATCTTTTAGCCATGAGTTCTGCGTCTTCCTACTGATCTTTTCCCTTGCATTTTGCCCTCTATTATGAGGCGCAGTATTTCAGTATTTCGTATCTACCACTTCTCATCACACACATTTGATTTTAGTAATTCAAAATTAATACGATACTGTGCCAGTATGTTTTATTTACGTAAATATTATTTTCCAAGATTGATGTGCACAATTTAAATTATTTTGAAATGTACAGGGTGTTTAAGAACTAAGATCCATACCAAAGTTATATTTTTTCTTATGGAACACCTCGTATTTTATTTCATTTTTGGATTCTTGGGCCCAAAAAAAGGTATTTTTTATAAGAGTTAAATATGTTTAAAATCTTTGGTTTTTGAGATATTTAAAGATATTTAAATTTGCATGCTACAATAAAATAGATTATTAACACCTTGTACATTACTTTTCAGAATTAGTTCTTGTGCTGAGTTTAAAGGTAGAGAAATAAACTTTACAGAAAAATGTTATTTCTTTCTTAAATGTATACAGGGGTATCAAAAATTGCTGGTCTATTTTAAATATTTATTTTACATAAAAACTTCGTTATTTCAAATGCAATACTATGTATTTTTTTAAATAAGTCGAAGCAGATTTAAATGGTCTTTCAAACTATATTAGGGTTTCCTATACCTATCTGACTCAGATTGTGAATAAAAATTAATTTTTCAATAAAATTGTAATCAAGATGGCTAGTTTTGTCATGGCAAGTTTCTAGTGACAGTTAGTAGCCATTTTCAAAATCGGAATTAGTTTATGGACTTATTTAAATTTATACTTTTATTTAGTTACCTACAGTAGTTTAATAAATAATATTTATTAAATATTTCTATATTATTCTATCAAAAAAGTAGTTCTTTGAATTAGTTTACGATAACTTGTAGATATATGGATTTTCTATAAAATAGCCAATTACGGCAAATTCATTTTATTCACTTTCAACAACAGGTTTCTGCCGAATCTAATAAGTTTTTTATAAACCACACTACCAGCTCTGCGATATAGGACAAGAAGTTTTTCAAAGAAACGCTTATCAGGAATATTCCTATTTGGATATTTTTGAGCATAAACCCTTAAGCAATTTTCCTCACAAAATAATATCACCAGTAACATATCTATTCGTTCCGCCAGCAGATACTGCTTTATTTTTCTTGATAAAATGATGAATACTTAGTTATTAAACTATTGTAGGTAAATTTAAGTAAACTGTTATATATTATAAATAATAATGTCCATAAATTAATGTCGACTTTGAAAATAGTTACTAACTGTCACTAGAAAATTGCCATGGCGACACCAGCCATCTTGATGGCAATTTTATTTAAAAATCGCTTTTTATTCAAAATCTGAGCTAGATAGGTATAGGAAACCCTAATATAGTTTGAAAGAGCATTCAAATCTGCTTCGATTTATCTAAAAAAATACAGGGCGTTGCATTTGAAATAACGAAGTTTTTTTATAAAATATATCCTTAAAATAGATCAGCAACTTTTGATAGCCCTGTATAAATTTAAGGAACCAATACCATTTTTCAGT